CTTTTACACCTGTTGCTTTTCATGAACCATTTCAGAATTTCTAAAGCACATATGACTGAACTGAGGCAGCCCTATTTCTAAAGTACATTGGTCCTTATGAAGCAAAATAAGCCAAGCTGATTGCAGGTAGGGCCCAAGTAGAGAAAGACAAAACCTACCCGAAGAGTTACCTTGTATCAGCATCCATGAACAAGATGAAATACTTTGAAGCACCTTTCCAAAAGACACAAGACCTAGTTTGAAGGGGTACTTATTCACTGGTAAATTCTGGGATGTGAATTTAAGAATAAAAAAACAAGTCATGGCTGGGTGCAATGGTGCACTCCTAAAATCCTAGCTATTCAGGAAGTTGAAGCAGGAGGAATTCAAGTTCAAAGCCAGCCTGGACAATTTGGCAAGGCTCTTGTCTCAAAATAAAGACTGCTCCTGGGTTCAAATCCCAGCACCAAATAAATGAATAAATAAACATCACAAGAAAATAAAAACCTGCTATGAACTGTTATGTTCCTACCAAATTCATATTTGAAACCTTAATGCTAAAGTGGTAGTAAGCAACCATTTGGGAGGTTTTAAAGCAAAAGGGTAGAGTCTCATGAAGGAATTAGTGCACTTGGTTCTCTGCCATATGAAAACCCAGAAGGAAGAGGCCTCACCCAGAACCTGACTATGCTGATACCCTCATCTTGGACTTTCTAGCCTCTAAAGCTGTGAAAAGTTAAGTTTCTGTTGTTTAAACTACCTAGCCCAAGGTAATTATAGTAGCTCAAACTAAGACACAAACCAATTTTTTAAAATAGACAAAAGATTTGAACAGCCATTTTACCAAAAATATACAGGTAACAAAAAAAGTATATAAAAAGATACCCAGTATTATTGGTCATTAGGAAAATGCATATTAAAATCACAAAAAGATACCTGTTAAGTCAGTCTTTAAAAAAAAAAAAACTTGACAATACAAAGCGCTGGTGAGAATGTAGTCACCAAAGTTCTCATACATTGCTGGTGGGAAAGCATAATGACACAATACACTTTGGAAAACAGTTGGGCTGACTTTTAAAAACATACTTACTGTACTTACTATAAACATACCTTTTTAAACATTCTTACTATAAAATACAACAATCACATTCCTAGCTGAGTGTGATGGCGAACATGTGTAATCCCAGCAGCTCGGGAGGTTGAGACAGGAGGAGGATGGCAAGTTCTAAGCCAGCCTCAGCAAAATCGAGGCACTAAGCAACTAACTCAGTGAGACCATCTCTAGATAAAATACAGAAAGTAGGGATATGATGTGACTCAGTGGCCAACTGCCTCTTAGTTCAATCCTGGTACCACCCCCCAAAAAAATCTGTATAGAAATGTTCTTAGCAATTACTACTAATAATCAAAAACTAGAAACAATTCAAATATGCCTCAACAGAAGAATAAATTGTGATTCATCTGTACAATTCAATATGATTCAGAAATAAACATGAACCACTCTTGATATATACAACACTTTGGATGAATCTCACGGTTAAATTAAAAAAAAAATTCAGAAAGCCACATTATTTTGGAAGAAATAAGATCAGAAATTGCCAAGGAAACTCAGGGAAAAGGCTTAAAAAGGGGGTAGCCTTTTTGAAAGCAATGCGGTTTTGAGTGCAGCAGAGCACCATGCTGCCAGCTTCTGCTCCTGACTCACCGCTGTTCTCTCTCGCTGAGTAACAAGTAGGTCAGGAAGCTGCACCACAGTCACGGCATTTAAAGACACCAGAAAGGCACCCGTGGAACAGATAGTGATTCATTATATTAGAATTATCCTTACCAGCCGCAATGTGAAATCACTTGACAAAGTGTATGCTGACTTGATCAGAGGCATAAAGGAAAAGAATGTCAAAGTGAGAGGACCTGTTTGCATGCCTACTAAGACTTTGAGAATCACTAAAACAAAAACATCTTGTGGTGAAAGTTCCAAGACCTGGGATCCTTTTCAGATGAGAATCCACAAAGACTCATTGACTTTGCACAGTCCTTCTGAGATTGTTAAGCAGTTTACTTTCATCAGTATTGAGCCAGGAGTGAAGGTTGAAATCACCATTGCAGATGCCTAAGTCAACTGTTTTAATAAATTGATTATCAATTGTTAAAAAAAAAAAAGAAAGAAAGAAAAGGGGAGTAGCAAATTTGGGGGGGGGGGGGGAGGGGGTGATGTTAGAATTGTTCTCCATTTTGATTACATAATCTGTTTTAAAATTCAGACCTGCACATCAAAGAGCAAACTTCAGTATCTGTAAATCGAAATGAATTATTTTTAAATCAATGAAAATTAACAAATCTTATGAGATTAAAAATCCTTGGGGCTGGGGTTGTGGCTTAGCAGTAGAGCGCTCATCTAGCACATGCAAGGCCCTGGGTTCAATCCTCAGCACCACATAAAAATAAATAAATAAAATAAAGGTATTGTGTCCAACTACTTCTAAAAAATAAACATTTAAAAAAAAAATCCTAGCATCCACACTCCTATGAAGCTCTTCTTTACGAAAGAAATCCAGCTAATAAGCCAAGGAGATTTGGGAACATCTGGACTAATTAAAAGCACATGTCCCCTAATATAATGAATTGAGAATTTGGCATGATTTCTGGAGTAGTCCTGCCAAAGGGCATAACCTGAATCTAATCATGAGAAAACACAAGACAAAGCCAAATTGAGGCCATTCTATAAAATAACTGGCGTGAACTCTTTAAAAATGTTATTTCCATAAAACATACACTTAGGAACTGGTCCAGATTAAAGTAGACAAAAGAGGTATGTGAATCTAATATAATGTACAATCTCAAATTTGTTTTTTTATAAATACCTTATTTGGATAAAACCTCCAAATAGTTTCCTGATTAGATAACAGTATTGAGTCAATGATAATTTTCTGATTCTGAACATTGCATTGCGATTACAGGATTCCTTGTTTTTAGAGAAGGTAAGCACTAAAATACTTAAGAAGGTAAAGAAACATCATGTCTGTATGTTACTTTTTGATTTTTGTGATGCAGGGAACTGAACACAGGGCCTTGTACATGCCAGGTAGGGTTCTAACTCTGAGCTACACCCAACCTGTATCTTACTCTAAATGGTTAAGTAAAAAATAATTAGTAAGAAGGGAAAAGAAAGTAAATGAGGTAAAATTTAGCACATCTGGATAAAAAGTATTTAAGAATTCTTCGTAGTATTTTTTAAAATACTATTTTTTAAAATTATTTATTTTTTTTGTAGTCACAGTTGGACACAATAACTTTATTTATTTATATGTGGTGCTGAGGATAGAACCCAGGGACTTGAACATGCAAGGCGAGCGCTCTACCGCTGAGCCATATCCCCAGCCACCTTTGTAGTATTTTTGTAACTTATTGTAAGTATGAAGTTACGAAAAATTATTTTAAAAAGTAAATGTTCATTGGGCTAGAAGTAACAGGCCAAGCAAGCTAGAAATAATAAAGCAAATAATCTAAATATGGAATCAACATAAACACATCTACTAACATTAAGACTCTAGTGATAACTTCTGACATTGACACAGTACTAATCAGGGAGGCATGTCCCATCACTCTGGATTTCCTGAGTTCCTGTGTTCTATTGTGGCAAGGAATTAGCTTGACACTGTTACAAGTCTCAATTACATAGGCAACTCTTGGCTTCAATCTCTTTCCTTGCTCATCAGTGACTTTTGACTATAACACAGGAGCTTCAAGTACAGGTCTGGCTACACTAAGATAATGATCATACTGACTTGTAAATTAGTCATATTTATAAATGTTACAAGTTAGTCTCTTGTGCATTTGATTAATAATAGCCTTCTTGGGCTAGGGATGTGGCTCAAGCGGTAGCGCGCTCGCCTGGCATGCATGCGGCCCGGGTTCAATTCTCAGCACCACATACAAAGATGTTGTGTCTGCCGAAAACTAAAAAAAATAAATAAATATTTAAAAAAAAATTCTCTCTGTCTCTCACTCTCTCTTAAAAAAAAAGTAATAATAGCCTTCTTAACCCATATCAATTCTGGGATATTTCTAAATATCTTGAGTATGAGAACCATACTCTAAAATGGTAAATTTATCAAGGCTGCTTAACTCTGGGTAAGGTCTTGAAAACTTTTTTTTAATTCGTTTGCCTAATCACAGTCTCTTCTAACCAGCAGATTTCAATACTCATAAAGATAAAACATCAAAAATAAATAAAATTGGCCAGGTTTGGTGGTACACAGCTATAATTTCAGTGACTCAGGTAGCTGAGGCATGAGGATTACAACTTTGAGGCCAGCCTGGGCAAGTTAGTGAGGTTCTATTTCAAAATAAAAAAAGGGCTAAGGTATAGCTCAGTGGTACATCACCCCTGAGTTCAACCTCAGTATCAAAATAAATAAGACTACTTGGCATGGCACATACCTATAATTCTAGCTACTCAGAAGGTTAAGGGAGAAGGATCACAAGTTCAAAGCCAATCTGGGCAACTTAGCAAGATCTTGTTACAGAATAAAATTTTGTAAAAAGTAGGGAAGGCTATAGCTCAGTGGTAGAGCACTTGCCTAACATGTTTGAGGACCTGGGTTCATTCTTCAGTACTGCAAATAAGTAAATAAATAAGACTAAATAAATTAGATACTAAATTTTTCACTGGGAAAATAACATATGACAAGTACTTGAATAACATAACAATTCCACTTTGGAAAAATGCATGATACTCTCTCATGTAAATATGACAATAACCATTTCAAGGACACAAAATAGGGAGGGCTATTTTTATTTTCATGATTTTAAACATCTTGACATAGAAGAAATTGTTAAGGCCATGCTCAACTATAAAGAACTAAAGACAAGCCATCCCTACTAGTCTATCACCAAGAATAGCATATGCCTTTTACATGTACAACTGAATATGCAGACAGAAAAGGAACCAATTAGAAAGTTCAGGCTTTCATTCATAACTTCAAAATTGGGAATTCGATCTTAAAAAAGGAAAGATTCCATTCAGCACTTGCTCAATCTCTTTATTTAACAGAAAGCATATAATTAATGAAGTAGCACTTAGTTTGGTACAGTAAGATCTGCTGCTACAGAAATAGAATTGTAATACTAAAATTCAAGCCAAGTCTCTTTCTTCAGCATGTGTAATGCATTCTACATTCAAATCTGATACACAGTTTTTAAAGCACGTACTTCATTTGTATTATTTTACCATCTACATGCTGAAATCTAATATTCTTTTTGATAGTGATGTGTTCAATGATAGAAATTTACAGAGAGAATTTCTTTTTTCTCAATCTGTAAACCAAAATTTTAAAAGCAAACTCTTTGAAGTAATAGAAAGACTTTTTATGACATAAACAGACTACTACCCTAAGCTATTGGCCCAAGCAAAAAAAAAAAAAAAGAACAAATTGCTCTTTAAATAACCACTCCATATGTGCTACAAAGATGTAAACATTTTCTTTGTATTTCTTTATATTACAGTAAAAGTTGATGTTTAAAAACTTCTGCAAGACTGCGAATATAACTCAGTGGCTGAGTAGCCTGCTTAGCAAACAAGTGCCAAGTTCCAGGTTTGATCCCCAGCGCCATACAAAAAAAGCTTTTGAAAATGTTAATTTTATGAAGAAATTAAAAAAAAGATTAACTTCCCTTTTGAGTGTCCAGTGACAAACTGAATCCCAATTTTCCTTCACTAAGGACATAAAAATGATCTGAAGTGAATCAAAGTGCTTAAAAAGTTCATGTTAAAAATGACCTTCCAGGACTGGGTTGTGGCTCAGTGGTAGAGCGCTTACCTTACACATGTGAGGCACTGGGTTCAATCCTCAGCACCACATAAAAATAAATAAACAAAATAAAGATATTGTGTCCATCTACAACTAAATATATATATACATATATAAATTTTTTTAAATGACCTTCCATATGCTCATAAAACCATCAACATAAAAAGAATGTGAAAGCTGTTTTATACTTGAATATTTAGTTAACATCTAAGGAATCACAACATTTGAGCTTTTAAATCTAGCACTATAATATATAAAAATAGTATAGTAGCTTATATTTTAAAAAAGCAAAGTGATAAAACTGCACACATAAATTGGCCCAAGTATCAACAACAATTATATCCTTCTGAATCTTTTATTATCTAGAACTTCAAAATTATCAATCCTTTTTAGTGCTTAGAGTAAACAATCAAAATAGTTATATTTATTCAGATCTAAAACTAAATTTCTCCATATGGAAGCACAGAAGCAATACATAGAAAAGGTCATTTTGTTCCAACTTCCTGAGCCCACAGATGTACAGTCTATAATATAATCTCATTATGTCATCATTGATGCACCTTCTTCACCAGTGGCATCTTGGGAAATATGAAGATCTTCAAGCATCTCAGCCAAACTAATTCGAGGTGCTCCTTCATCATCTGTGTCACTCTCCACAGGTATAGTTGAATCTAAGAAAAAAATAAAAAGGATTTCAAATAAATACAAATATGAAATTAGATAAATTTCTGCCCCTACCATTAATTTTATTATCTAACTATATGGTATTAGAAGTTCTTGTATTTTACCTAGGGCTGGCATTCAAATATTCACTGAATGAATGGACGGAATAAATGTATAAATAAATTTCTACCAGTAAAGAAGCTATCATGCTAGGAAAAAAAAAATGATATTAAATATAGTATAGCAAACAATGTAGTAAGTTTAACTATTCTATAAGTAATTTCTTCGTAAAAGTTTGATGACAGCAGTTTAAAAAATTCACAATAAAAGTAACGTATAAGGATCAAAGTTTAAGATCCCAAAATACTCTCCCTGGTAAAATATATGACTTCAACACTCCTAAAACACCAACCTCTATAGATGTTGACATTTTTTCTAATTGCCTCATCTTCTTCAAGATCTTCAAGGAAATCTTGGTATTGCCTATAGGATAAAAAAAATTTAAATATTTCACTTTCACCAAGAAGAGTATGAAGTTCTCTTCATTTTCAGCACTGCAAGGTAATGTGCTCTACATATTACCATCTTTAAAAAAACAAAAGTCAAATATGGATGTCAATTCAATACTAATAGGCTGAAAACATTTCTTTCAAAATTACATGATTAAAAAAAAAAAAAAACAGCTGAATATAAAGGTGAGGTTAAATATAAGACAATGAGAAGATATCCCTCCCCCAAAAAGTTTTATGGCCAAGTTGAAATACACTTTCACTTTACAGATGAAGCAGTGAAACCATACTTACAGAATCTAATTGACAGTTGTATATTTACGCATATTATAACTGTGAGATTATATTTCAGAAATACTGCTGTTTCCTAATTCACATTTCATAAGTTTTATATAAACTCTTCATTTCACTATCATTAAGACCACTTTGAGTCATACAAAAATCTTTTTTAGAATACATTATCTTGCTTCTGGTTGTTTTGGAAATAACATTTGATCTCAAAAAGCTGTTTTCTTTTTATCTCAAATCGTAAGTACTCATCTGCTATTTGTGATATCCTTGTTATTTATTATATTTTGACTTTTGAACTGAATTATTTACATCAACACTGTAATTACAAGGTAATAACTCAGGAAATAATTACTAATCTGTGTTACATTCTCTTAAATTTATTCCATCAATACCTTGATAGAAATCCAATAGAAATCTTAATACTGAGTGCAAGGATCAACTAACTGTGTGATGCCTATTTCTTTACAATATAAAATCAATTTATTCTAAGGATTTTCTCTAAGACAACATTTAAGGATAAAAGAAAAGTGGGACCTTTCATCATCTGTATCCATGTTTTCTCTATCTCTTGCAAGTTCTTTCAGTTTCCAGTTTCTACGACGCTGACGTTTGGTACGGTCATAGCTTTTCTTGATTAATACCTATAACAGAAATATCTGCAAAGTTATAAACCATAAGAACTACAGTCGGACAACAAAAATCCAATAAAGTTAAAATATGAAAATTTATAGGAATGCCAAGGAAGCCTTCAAACTAGACAGTTAAGAGAAAGGTAGGGACCAAGAGGCATTATCAGGGGGGCTTTTATAACTTTTCTCCATGTATTTATGTGAGAATACATCTGCGTACTATTTGTATAACTTAAAATTACTAAGTGAAATTTTCTAGAGACTGAATATAAAATTTTTATCACCAAAAATCTATAGTTTTTTTTTAACTTGAACTTCAATTTTCAGCTACGATTCATATGAATCGTCTTGAAATATCATAGGCACTTTTTCTTTCTTTCATTCCCACTTACACAACAGGATATCTTAGAAAACATTAATGCTGTGGAGTTAATAGGTGAAAATAATTTTATAAAACACAAACCTTATAATACCTTCATGATTTCCTCTTATGACCTTGTTAGAAATATCTACTGTGTTACATCCAAATCGTCCTTCTATTTACTAATTTCATTAGTTACTTAAAATATAACTGGGTGATGGTGGTAGATGTAGGAAGGAGGGTATCTTTCTTTTACTATGACTTTATTTTGGACATTGCTTTTCAAAAGGTAAGCAACTAGGAGATAGGGTCTTTCATACCAATTTCATTAACTATTGTTCATTATTCTTTATCATGTTTGAACTTAACAGACTTTCACAATAGTTTTTATCCGAGACCTGATAATATGATTATTTTCAACTGCAATTACATTTTACAGTTGGCCAAATCAAACCTGAACTCTAACTCTAAATGTCTTCTTACCTGGACAATATACATGAAATATGCTAAACTTGGGTAAGAGAAAACATGAGTAAATTCTAAAAATCATCATTTCTAGCTACAAACTTATTTTTGCTCTATAGATAAGTACTAAGTATTTTGACAGAGAATAAAATTTTAAATAGTTAACAACAAAAAAATCAAATCTTGAATTTATCCCACTTAAAAAAAATGATTTAAAATGAATATTTCTGCTATTATGCCTTAACTATACTTTAAAAGAAATCTCTAAGTTGATTTGTTATTTTCAAAAGTGTGAACTCATGCAGCTCTTTCATAAGAATTACAAGAGTCCTCTTTAACGCAGGAAAAAAAAAGAAAAAAAATATCTAAAGCCTTACCACATCTGGAACTCTCTCTGAGTTCATTTTGTTGACATGCTCATCATTTAAGTTACAGTTGGCCAAATCAAACCTGAAATCCAAACAAGGAAAAACTTGCTATTTCCCTTTGTATGTAAAATTTTTTATTTTAGGGATATCACTTAAAACTTTCTCTGAAGTCAAACATTTAATGTTTTTCACTTTAAAGCTTTGCGATTTACTATACAGTGAACACATTTCTTCACATTCCAGAAAAGAAATACCTGACTTTCACATATTATCCATTATTGTGTACCTTACTATATGCTTTTTGTTAAAGACAAAACACAGATATATATCCATCTAACTTTAGGATTCGGTAGAAATGAATAAAAAAAAAATAAAAATACCCCCATTCTCCAGTGAAAGGAAATGAAATCCTCAGAGTAAAAGCAATCTTTAAAGCACACTGATTAGCTTTGATTAAGAAAGGATTGTTCCATGTCTTTATAAACACTTTGCAGATTTGGCTACCATTTCTTAAAAGTAAAATATTGAGGAGAGCATGTGCACAATAAAAAACTACCCACTCCCCAAAAAAGCTGCAAATATGGATTGAACTATATACATTCAGGAGTCAATTACCAAAATCTTAGAACAAATGACTCTTTTAGATGATGGCCAAAACACAACAACAACAAGCTTCTGTCCAATTCCACAGTTTAATTTAGATAAATATAAAAAAATAAGTTATTAAGACTCCAAAAAAACTCTTAAAAAATCTTTTTTGGAATGAGCAACTTTAGTGTTTTAGGTAGCTCTATTGGCTCCCAAAGAAAATCTCTAATGCTAATTGGCAGTTTAAAATATTATAAAATAATACAAACCCCAAAACCAGGTCTCCAGGATTTAGAAGGTGTCCCAAATGAGTACGACAAAAATACTGCTTATCTGTATTCATTTCAGATGTTTTCTGTACCCAGACTTCACCAAGGGTATGCTTAACAGGAAAGAAAATGTATTTTTCAATAATCTGAACATAACTCAAGAAGTATCTCATAGAAAAATTAAATGCCAAATTGATTTTTAGTTTTCTAGTTTTCATTTTAAAGATTTTTTTCCAGATCTCTGAAACACTGTCAATAATTAATAAATTACTGAATAATGAGTATCAAAAAAGACTCAGAAGGCAATCATAAGAACAAATAATTGATTTGTTACAAGTTTAAGGCTCTTATAAAACATTAACAATCTCCTCTGAAAAATACATAAAGACTTTTTGAAAGAAATGTTTCTCACAGGGAGATTGGGCATACAGACTGGGAAAATAAAATAAAGGTAGGAAAATCTTAAAGCAAGAAAATATTCTAAGCAAACACTTCTTTAACACAAAGCTTCAAAAAGAAAAACAGTGTTCAAACAAAACAATCTTGAATGAAATCCCAGTAGTGTATCCCTACAGAATCCAGACCTTCAAATTAATTTTGGGATATTACACTAGTTCACAGTATAATTTTTAAAAAACTATTTGTTGCAGAAACAATATCCTGCTTAAATTTGAAAGTTTAAAGTAGAAAACTTTAACTCACTTTCACTTTCCAATGTAAGATTTTACAAGCACTTTTAACTGACATTTTAAACTTCAAGACTGAATTAAACATAGTCCATGCCAACCATTTACTAACACAGATAAACCAAGTAAAGTGGATTATTAACAACAACAACAACAAAAAAAACTAAAAGTCAATAGTAAAATTAAAGAAACTTAAAGAGATGAAAAGAGGATGCTGTAGAAGGAAGAAACTGAAATAAAATACAGGTCTCAGGTATGGAAACAACGGACAAAAAAAGGGAATTACCAGAAAGACTAAGTTCTATTTAACAGGATTCACTTTCTAGTTCTTATATTGGTCCTAATTATAACAGACTTAAGAACTGTTCTACTTAAATGCATTTTTTCAAAATCAAGAAAACATACTATCTGGTTTTTCTATATTATAGATGAAAAGTTAGCTCTACTATCTGGTTTTTCTATATTATAGATGAAAAGTTAGCTCTTAACTATATTATTTTTTAAATAAATACATAGAAAGTATTCTGTCTTCTATTTTCAGTGATTTTTTTCCCCAAATAATCAGAAATTATTTTTGTCTCAAAAAGCAGTATTAACTCAAAGGAAGTGAGCATCCTTGGAAACCAGATTGGAAGCCGGGTGTGGTAGCGCATGTATGCCACCCTAGCAGCTCGGGAGGCTGAGGCAGGGAGGCTGAGGCAGGAGGATAGCAAATTCAAAGCCAGCCTCAGCAAAAGCAAGGCACTAAGCAATTCAGTGAGACCCTGTCTCTAAATAAAATATAAAACAGGGCTAGGGATGTGGCTCGATCGTCGAGTGCCCTTGAGTTCAATCCCTGGTACCCCCTCCCCACCCCTGCAAAAAAAGAATCCAGATTAGAGGTATCTAAATACTATATACACACTAAAAGAAATCTGACTTTTATCCCTGAAAAACTTATTTCAGATATGGGTTAAGTATCATACAATGTGATTTTAGAACACCTGGATGCTGTTTTGTGCTTTCACAGAAATCAATGCATTCAGACTAAGAAAGCCATCTCAAAAAAACATAGGAACCATTCTGAAGGAGCTCTCACTGCCTAAATTTAGGGCAATCTAAATATTTTAAAAGAAAAAATATAGTAAATACATATAACTTCATAAGATCATGATAATCATAGAGAAAGAGACACTTTCAAGTGAGCGTGCTACCGCTTGAGCCACATCCTCAGCCCAGAGAAAGAGACACTTTCAAATAAAGAAATAAGTTAAACATATTTTCACCACTGAAAGAGAACTAGACTATCTCCTTATTCTGAAAATGTCAAGAGAAAGAATTAAGAATTAGTGCAGAAGAAAAACATTTCAGGAAACCATATAGCCTTGAGATAATGGAGAGCTCTTCCTTAATAAAGAATGTTGGGGCTGGAGATGCGGCTCAAACGGTAGGGCGCTCGCCTGGCATGCGTGCAGCCCGGGTTCAATCCTCAGCGCCACATACAAACAAAGATGTTGTGTCCGCCGAAAACTAAAAATAAATATTAAAAAAAAAAATTCTCTCTCTCTCTCTCTAAAAATAAATAAAGAAATAAAGAATGTTGGCTAATAAATGTAGAAGAAATAATAGAAAGGTCACCACTGTATACTAAATAAAATAATTAATTTTGGCAAAAATGCTAAATACTAAACACACACACACTCACACACAGATAATAATAAGAACTTGATATGTACATATTGTGACAGTACCATTCAACAGAATACTTGCTGGTTACAAGGGGGAAAAACATCCTACTATAATGAAGGGATCTGCTATCACCATTTTAGCCAATAAAACAGACATGACTTGTCTCAATATAATACCATAAAAAGTATACAGCATCACCTTTCAAAGAGTCTGGCAAAAATATTTAACCTAAACTCAGCCAATTCTTTTCTTTTTTTAAATTTTTTTTTTTTTTTAGTTGTAGATGGACATAATGCCTTTATTTTATTATTTTATTTATTTATGTGGTGCTAAGGATTGAACCCAGCACCCCACGCGTCCAAGGCAAGCACACTACCACTGAGCCACAACCCCAGCCCCTCGGCCAATTGTTTATACTCAGTTTTCAGGTTAGAGGAAATACAAGAGATTAAGAGCAAGTTAAATGACACCATGAGAAAAAAGAAAGACTGAGAAGGACAGAGTACTCTACAAAATAAATGTTGTATTGTATAAACAAGTCAGTATTATGACCACAAGAAACAACAACAAAAAATGGGGGTTGGGGGAAAGAAGACTATTTTATTATAATATTCACATAATTTGTGGTCCCAAATTGGATACTAGTTTAAGTAAACCATAAAAGATACTTTGGGGAATATAATGAAATCTGCACATAGACTAAACAATTATAGGTATGATCATGATACACTGATTGTGTAAGAAAATATTCCTATATTTTCAAGATAGAAACTATTTAACTATTGGTATTCAGTAATGATTTTGAAAAGTCAAAAAGGTTAGTCATTTGATCCTCCTCTACAAAAACAAAGAAAATGCTTTCTTATAAAAATGGAATAAATATTTTAAAACTTTTTTTCAACACAAAAGAGAAAAATTATAAAAATGCACTTTAACCTAATGTGGTGCTACTTTTATTTGGACTCCACATTTTGGAATTATAAATAAGTTAAAAAAGATAAAAGAAAGAAGGACTGAAACAAAAGTTAAGATGGAAAAAAAAAAAGGAGGAGGGGTAGGATATAGCTTACCTTTTTTGATATCATTCCAGCACCTGCATTGCGTTTTACATCTCGAACAATGCTGCATTCCATCACAATAAACTCCTCCAGCTGTTTGGGATGGCATAAACTATTGAAAGGATGACTCCAGAAAGTGCTCCCGTCAATATCTGCAACTAAAAATAAACACAGAAAACGAAAAGACAAAGAACTGATGTATTTCAAAGAGTCATTAAATTTGTTAACTAGGGAGGAGATAGTATATACTAACTGATAAACAGGAACGACAATGCCAACTCACTCTCAAACTTGTAAAGAACTAACAGGTGTCAAACACAGCTTAAGTAGTTTTTAAATCAGAATGCTAAAGGGCTAAGTGGCTTTTAAATAAAATCAGATTCAACCAGGTGCATACTTGTTTCATGTGCTGGCATTTTATTTTAGAAACACATCAACATTTTAGTTGCTTAGTTTATGGGAACTAAGGCCTAGTTCTAATGACAGATAAACAATGTCTACTCTAGTACTACAGATCTTTAACTGATGAACTGTAATTGATAAGGATATGAATGACTTTAAGTACATATCAAAATATACTCAAGTTTTATTACAGGAAACTTATGAAAAAAAATTAAGTACGAGATATAGTCAAATACTGAGACACCTACCATGAGGCCTTTTTAAAAAATACGTGTTTTTTTTTTTTTTTACAAAGAGAAAGTAAATAAATGATCTATGATAATGTTAGTAAATTATTAAAACTCCACATGCAAACTAAATGTTCCAACAGGTCACAAAAGGTCACATGTTCCAAAATTTAAAATACTTGTCATATACTGAAATATAGCAATAAATTTATTATTTTTTTATTATTATTTATTAGTAGTAGTAGTAATAGTCACAAAAACTAAATGAGGCAAATAAGTCAATTTTAGTAAAAATTCATGACATGCAATAGGAAATCTATTAAAACTCTTGGAATCGTTTCCTTAAATAAAAAATACAAGGGTAACTAGTAAAATAGTTTATAATTCCAGTGTTTCATAAATATTAAACAGTACAAATTTTAACTGGCTCTTCAACATAAAATTATTGAGAACAAAATTAATAATATAAATTATTATTGCCCACCATGCAGGACAAAACTGTCAAGGCAAATTTAGTTTCTATACTTACCTTGTAGGGTGTTTGGATCTATAAGATGGATGGCACTAGTTACTCGAATACATACACAGATCTGGTTCATATTTCCCAGACTTTGTGCCAGTTTTGGAGACAGACAGACAACATTATCCTAGGCAACAGAATAACATTTTAAATGATATAAGTTCTAAATAAGTCACCAAAAACACATTAATGTAAACTCAATCCAACTGTACTTGCCCAACCAAAATGTTAGTTTTCACTCTTGTACCCACAAGGGATCTAAATAAAAGAATCAAACCTTACCTTAAATTAAAGATAAGCTATATCTTAAGACAGGCATGTTTGCCTTAATTAAAATGCTTTAAAAAAAAAAAAAAAAAAAAAAAAAGTCTTTTAGGACCTAACTTCCAAACTGTTAAGATTACTTCAATTTTATTGCAGTTTGCTTACCACTTTAAATGTTAGTTATAGTGTACTTCCTAAGTAAAGTGTAACATCAGGAGCAGAACAATTTTCTAAATCGACTTGTGAATTCTTTTAATATCCATAAAAATTTCTAAGGAACAATGTTTGTCTTAAATGGTTACATGTACCAATATGTTAATCAAAGATTTAATTGCTCTATCTTCCGAACCAGATGTATACTGGGATATATTATAGTAACTAGTAATATAATTATGTTTTTAAACAACATTAACATTTAACAAGGGCACATGCCTATTATCCCAGTGGCTCAGGAGGCTGAGACAGGAAGATCTGGACGACTATGAGTTCAAACCCAGCTTCAGCAACTTAGTGAGGCATTAAGCAACTCAGTGAGACCCTGTCTCTAAATAATACACAAAAAAGGGCTAGGATGTGGCCCAGAGGTTGAGTGCCCCTGAGTCCAATCCCTGGTACCAAAAAAGTGAGTGTGTGTGTATAAAGGATCTATTCACATCCATAGATTCCTCCACTGAAGGAACACTATGCGCATACAAGTTCCTCTCAAACCTTGGTTTTCCAAAAAAGAAATGAAATGATACAGTTAGCCCTCCATATCACATGTTCCACATCTGAAGATTCAACACAATGCAGAACCAAAAATATTTTTTAAAAAACTGCACTTGTAATGAACGTGTATGTACTTTTTTTCTTGTCATCATTTCCTAAACAATACACTACGACAAATGTTCACACAGTGTTTACATTATATTAGGTAGAAGTAATCCAGAAGTGGTTTTAAAGTATAAAGGAGGATATGAAGAGATTATATTCAAATACTATACCATTTTATATAAGGAACTACAGGGGCCCAAATGTTTTATTCAGAACCAATTCCCTATAGATACAAAATACAGCAGTACTTCACACTGCACATTCCCCTAGATACTTGTATGAGTCACTCAAAGCAGTTAATACCCAGGTGTAACTATGTTTTCCTAACTAAATTCCTATTTTCCTGGCTTTGGGTTCAGTTTTAAACCAGGGGTTAGTAAAAAATGGCACTCGGGATAAATTTGGCCCATGCTTGTTTTTTGGAAAGCCTTGCTAGGACATATCCCTGACCATTCACTTTCATGTTATTCATGGATACTGACATGCAACAACAGCAAAACTGACTAGTTACAAGAGATTATATATCCTAAAAATGGAAAATATTTACTAAATGGTCTTTACAGAAAGTCTGCCAATGCTATATTAGGATATCATTTCATTCCTGGTAAAAGTTTTAAAGTCACAGACCTGGGTATAAATCCTGGTTTTATCATTTTGTGGTTATAAAATTTTGGGAAAGTCATCTAAGCTCACCACACTTGTTTCCTCATTTTCAAATATGATAGGGCTTACTTCATTTATTATGAGACATGAATAAAATGAAAAATACCACAGTATCTAAATAATAACTTTATGTAGAACGGTTACAAAAAAATCACAGCAGTTAACCATTACACATGATTTAATACTGATATGTAAGTTCGTACATGGTAGAAACCTCTAGCTACATTATCCTTAGTATATAGTCTAAGATGATCAATAACTGTTGAATTTTAATTCATTGATATTCTTGAAGGTTTTATTTTCTTATAACTAAATGAAATAACAATCTACAATCCAAATGTTTTATTCAGATCATCTTTTCAAATAAAAATAATCCTGTGACCTCATTTCCACAATAATATTTATCTTACCAATTGTTTGCACAGGTCCCACAAAATGGCTCACTTGTTTGTTTAAAAATATCATTTATTTTAATTCAAAGTTTCATAGAGCTGTCCATATATTCTCTAGGGTCACAAATATTCAGGAATAGGAACTTATAAAATCACAACCAGATCTTTCATCTTAATACACCAAAATGAAAGACATGTCAATTCATAATTAAAAGCATGATTACCCTTATCTTTTTTAACAAGGCTGAATGTGTCAGAAGTCATTTAAGAAAGTCTAAATTTTTGACCACCTCTGAAGGAAACCAGGAACTATGAATCACATATCAACCAATTAATTACTTGTACTCTTAAAGATATCAATTAAATGAAAAAATGTACCTTGCATATTGGAACAATTTCCACAGAAAAAGTGCTTTTGTAATTATATGTGTTACTATGAATATCCTGAGAGATCAGTCTTTGTGACGCTTTGTATCTATTAAGAAAAAAAGTTAATAGGCAAAGGTCTTTACTTACATAGACTCAGGAGTATCAAATTTCATTGAATCAATTATCACTGTATAAGTTCTTAAATAGCTTCCTGATGCCTGCTATGGTAAAGCCTAATTTCATCTACTTGTATTTCAAAACCTATGACTATATACTGATGACTTTCAACCTTCTCTACTTAAAACTTCCAAACCATGTCAATGGCTCAGATCATCTACTCTATATAGCATCTGTTAAAATCCATGCTAATGCCCATCACCATGTCTTTGTTCATCGTAAACTCACCTTTTGATATAAATTCCAACTATGAAAATTTTCCCCATCTTTGGAGAGTAATTACTACCTCCTCTATGAATCTTTACTAAAAGCCCTCTTAACCCATCTTTCCTTTCTCTTTTCATTTAAATACAGTTGATCAATGGTTCAGCCCTACAGAGTTAGGTCTAACTCTCCAAAGGAAATTCTTACATACACATTAGCAAATGTATCTCTTAACGAATAGATTTAACCTATACCCATTTCCAGGTCCTTGAACTTACGTCACATTTAGATTCACAACATACCTACAGGGAACTGTACACTGAAGAAATTCTACCATCTTCTGAGCATGTTGTTTTGAGGAATAATAGAAATCCAGACCATCTTTAAAAAAAAAAAAGCTTTATGAAAATATTTCTGCAAAAAAGATTTTCCTGTTAATGTGACTATTATCACAAATCCATAATACACAAAATCAAATTATTAGAAAATATTTAAAATATTAGGAATGTCACTTAAAATTGATTTGGCAAAAGGAGAGACAAATGAAAACAAGATGGATAATTTTAATTCTAGGGGGAAAAAAGGATGGTTGTGGGGGCAGGGACAAAGAGTAGCTCAGTGTGATAGTGCATGCAATTAATCCCAGATACTTGGGAAGCTAAGGCAGGAGGACAGCAAGTCTGAAGCCAGCCTGAGCAACTTAATGAGACCCTATCCAAAAATTAAAAAATAAGAAAAAGCTGAGTATAGTGGCATACACTGGGAAATCCCAGTGATTTGCAGGGCAGAGGCAGGAGGGTTGCAAAGTTTGAGGACAGCCTCAGCAATTTACCAAAGCCCTAAAGCAACTTAGCAAGACTCTGTCTCAAAACATTAAATAAAAATGGCTGGGAATGTAGCTCAGTGGTAAAGCATCTCTGAGTTCAACCCCAGTAACCAAAAAGAAAAGAAAAAATGTTGGGGATATAACTCAGTGGTACAGTGCTTTCCTAACTTTTGTAAGACCTTGTTTTCAATCCCTAGAACAAAAAAAAAAAAAAAAAAAAGAGAGAACTATTTTATGTAACAAATTTAACAAATATTTATATAACAAAAGCTACCAAGAAGATAACCAGAATCCTGAGACTTGAGATGCAAAAAAGAAAGTACATTTTTTTAAAAAAGCTTCAATAAATCCCAGACAGCTAAAATCACATTAATCTGTTAATAATGCAATAACATTAAAAACTATCAGCAAAGGGAAAGCTAAAAGCAAACCCAATAAGAAATATTAAGAGACATTCTTGTAAATAACAAAATAGGAAAATAAAATTATCCATAATTGCTAAAACAAGATTGAAGAAAATGAACAAATTCATAGGACTCACACTAAGTAATCAAGACAGTGTGGTATTGGCATAAGGACAGATATATAAATCAATGGAGCAAATAATATCCCAGAAACAAACCAGAGATCTATTTAGTTAATAGATCTCTGACAAAGGAAAGGATAGTCTTTTAATTGGGACAAAGACATCTACATGAAAAGACAAATTTACACACTTATTTCACATCCTGCACAAAAATGAACTCAAAAGAGGAAAGGCCTAAACATAAGAGCTAAAATTAATGAAAGAAAACATAGGAGAACATTTCTGTGAACTTAATTAGACAAACAGTTCTTAAGCACAACACCAAAAGTATAACAGAAAAAAACTTGATAAACTGGACTTCATCAAGATTCAAAACTTCCACAATTCAAAGGACACCATTAAGAAAATGAGCCGGGTGCAGCACACAACTAATCCCAGCAACTTAGGAGGCAGGAGGATCACAAGTTCAAAACCAGCCTCAACAACTTAGCAAGGCCCTAGGCAGCTTAGTGAGACCCTGTCTCAAAATAAAAAGGGCTGGGGATATGGCTCAGTGTAAGTGCCTCTGGGTTCAAAAAAAAAGTACCTGGTACCAAAAAAAAAGGTATTAATTTGGAAGACAATCTATTAGTGTATATAAAATTTAACATTTGCATATTGTCCAATAATTCTAATTCTTTAAGTCAATCCCAAAGAAACCCACTACATATGTACAAAGATAAACATATAAGGATATTACAGTCTGCTTGTAGCAGCAAATAACGGACTAACTTGTAAGTCCATCAATGAAGAAATAATTAAATTAAAATACACACTGATTAAGGAATACCACATAGTAATGAAACAGAACTATAGGCAAAGTTGTGGGAAGTTTCCAAATATCTTAAATAGGACAGCAAGTCATAGAACATTACAGAATGATCTCACTTGAGGGAAAACCATTGCTATCACAATTTATAAACAAAGCATATCTTATTTTAAGGAGTAATGCTATATATAGGGATGACAGGTAGATAAAGATGAAGTGGAGGTCCTTTATATATACTTCCATGCTGGAATTTTTATGAGTGCTATTTTATAAATAACACTATAAATAAAGAAACAAGCCAAAGATTATTTAAATCAAACCAAGAATAAACAGAAAAAATATTCTCTAGATTATAAAAGAAGGGTTATTAAACCTATGGCACTTTTTGTTTTGAAAGTAATAACAGGGGGTGGAGGGGACACGGGAGGAATGGAGGAACTTTAGAAAGGGAAAAGAGGGAGGAGAAGGGAAGAGCAAGGGGGTAGGAATGATGGTAGAATGAGTTAGAAATCATTACCCTCAGTACATGTATGAAAACAGGAATGATGTGAAAATACTTCACACACAACCAGTGACTTGAAAAACTGTGCTCTATGTGTAATATGAAATGAGCTGCATTCTGCCATGATATATAACAAATTAGAATAAATAATAACGAAAAAATTGATCAGACATAAATATAACCTAAAACTATGAAATTTGGGGGAAAATATGGGAATCAATCTTCATGATATTGGTTGAACAAAATTTTTCTTAGATATATAACATCAAAATATCAAGTAACAAAATAATAAACTGGACTATGTCAAAACTAAAAACTTCTGTGCTTTAAAGTTTACTCTAAAGAATGTGAAAAGATAACCCACAGGAAGTATTTACAAATTATATACCTGTTAAGGAACTTTCACCTATATGTAGAATATATTAAAGAACTTAGAATTCAATAAGAAGATAAATAACACAATTTAAAAATGAATAAAATAGCCAGGCATAGTGGCACATGTCTGTAGTTCCAGCAGCTTTGTAGGCTGAAAAATGAGGATTGTGAGTTCAAAGCCAGGCTCAGCAAAAGCAAGGTATTAAGCAAGTAAGCAACTCAATGAGACCCTGTCTCTAAATAAAAATACAAAATAGGGCTGGGGATGTGGCTCAGAGGCCAAGTATCCATGAGTTCAATCCCCAGTACCCCCCACCCCTGCAAAAAAGAAAGTAATTAGAAAATGTATACAATTCTTTTGCCACTAAAAATTCTGTGTGAGGATATGTCTACCATGGCAATAAACTATAACAGGGTTTTGCATCCTTCATCAGACTATTTGAGTCTCTCTATCCCCCAAAGAATTACCAGAAAAAAGTTACATAGAAAAAGTTATTATTTTTGTCTGATGACTAGCCAATAAGGTACCTTATCCACAATAAGTATTCACTAAGCCACATTTCACAAATTTAGACTATGAGTCTGGCTTATTAAATTTACATTTTAATAATATAATTTTCTATCACCCTCTATACTACATTAATGTATATTACTGGTTTACTCTTCTAGTGGCCAAGTTAAGCAGCCTACTGAGGGCAGAAATAAATATTCATTCATCTTTATGTCCTAAGAAACCTGAATGGCATCTATCACAATTCAAATGCTTAATAAATGTCTTGAACTGGGACAGAAGGAGAACATCAAGGAAAAACAATCATGCTTCTAGATATGTGATATCCAACACAGTAGCCACTAGCCACATGTAAATTAAATATAAACTTATATTAAAATGTAAATTTAATAAGCCAGACTCAGAAAATTAAGAGTTGAATGTTTTCTCTTATATGTGGAAGCTAGAACAAAATAAGGGAAAGAAGGCGGAGGGGAGGGAATCCGATATAAGGATTTAGGGAAAATCAGTAGGAGAAAAAGGGGGTGGGGGAGAGAAGGAGAGACAGAAGGAGAAAGGAAATGGAAATGAATTTAACAAAACCATGTTACATACATATAAAAATGTACTCAAAGGAATTTCATCTTTATGTATATGTAGAAAGTAACAATCAAAAATAAATAAACAAGGGTTTGGGATGTGGGTCAGTGGGAAAGCACCCCCGAAGTTTAATCCCCAGTACCAAAAATAAATAAATAAATAAACAAACAAACAAACAAACAAATGAAAAGGAAGATCAGTAAAGAAAGGAGAAAAGGGGGAGGGAGAAGAGGAGGAAATAAGGGGAATGGGGATTGAAATCATATTTCCTGTATGTACGATTTTGTCAAAATGAACCCAAATACTACAATTAAAATGCTCTGATTAAAAAAATGTGGAATAAAATTGATTTTCTACATCCCCCCAAAACATAAATTTAATGTAATTTTAATTTAAAATAGAAGAAAATTTCAAACTCAGCTCCTCAGTTGCACCAGCCATCTTTCAAATACTCATGTAGCTAGTAACTTCTATATTAGAGAGTACAGATAGAAAACTAAGATTGTTTTCTTCCTAACAAAGGTTTTTTGGATAGTACTAATCCAGATGTTATCAGTAAAGATAAGTAGGTTAATATAAATTAGAGTTCTTTTAAATTTTAACTCACCATGAATCTCTTTGATACGAAGTGTATTCTGATGCATTCCATATTTCAGAATCAACTGTTCCAGATAGTAGAATGTTTTTTTGTGTGAAGTCTACATATAAAAGCATTATTTAATCAATAAACTGAACACCAAAATAAGCCACTTATAAATATGGTACACATATACCATCTATAGGTATAGCACATTGACTTTTCAAATAAAAACAACCTTTAAAGATTACCTAAAAGGTAAAAAGAATAATCTATTTCTAAAGGTGAATGCTCCAGGGATCTAGAATTCCTGGTGCTTAAAGAACTTGGAAAGAAGGGAAAAGAGGTTTTTTTACTAGCTGTTCATAATTGACAAAGATTAAACACAATGTAGAATTTACTCATCTGTTTCTCATTACCTTTTGCCTGACTTGAATCACCGCCTTCCAGAAATCCTTGGCTTCTACTCTGTGGCAATCTCCACACATTTGGGACTGAACAACATAATCCACCACAAACACTTGCTGAAGTATAGCACCATTCATCACCTGGAAAAAAAAAACAGTTACATTCCCTCATTCTTACAGTACTGTTTCAAGATAAATATCTTTTTCACAAAATGTTTTAATAATTAATTTAAAATATTTTTTATGGATGTTTTGGGGATATCCACATGTCAAGTTTAAAGACAAAAAGTTACTTCAAGATAGATATGCAGGTTTTAATTCTTAAGATTTATTAGATCAACATTTTAAATCTACCTTTAGTTGAAATGACTGTAAGGACATTCTCTAAAGAATGTGTATACATGTGTGTACATGCACGTGTGTACGTAAGTGTGTACTTTCTTTGAATGGAAACAGAGAATTCACACTTAGAAGGAAAAATAAGACAAGGGAAATTCATAAAAGGAAATTATTCTTTAATTAATAGTTTCCCAGCATAACAAATCAAAACTCACCTGAGCTTTTTAGCTATAGACAGGGCTGAGGGTATAGCTCAGTGATAGCATGCACAAAACCCTGGGTTCAATCCCAGCACCAAAGAAAAGAAAAATAAATAAGAGGAAAGAACGATATATAGAGATTCCAGGTCCTCACATCCAGAGATTGTGATTTAGTTACTGTGAGTCATTACGATGATCAGCCAAGTTTGAGAATCATTACCTTAGCCCACGTTTTTACTTTAGTTCTTCTGACAAATTATTTAAACCACTAATAATGAGCAACAGCTGCTCTTATTAGTGACCAATCATTTGTACAGATGATCAAAGTAAAACAAAGGACTAAAACTAAAAATACACTTTTCCTTTTATGCTGTTTAAGATATAAAATAACTTGCTACACCCTCATTGTCATTTCCTGCACTTTAACCATGTTTAAAAAATAATGTATAACTTACCTCTTTTTGAATAGTCAATTTAACTTTAAGTCTTTTAGAATGGGGCTCAGTCCAAACAAAGCCTGCATCTACAAGGCGTACCTTCAACAAAACATATACAAAAAGAAACATAAGTTCCTACCTGAAGGAAAAAAAAGAAATAATAACTCATTAATAAACAGACTTCATAAAAAGTTTTAAAGAATCTGTGATTAGCGTCACTATAAAAAAAGTTTCATCATCGTGGTATGGTAACAATAGCAGTAAATAAAAGGACAAACTAATGGCTGTATTAGTGCAATTGATACAATCCAAGAAAGAAAGTTATCTGCATAGGAAAAATCATTTTCTCGTAAGTGTACTGATCTAATGGAAATTACATTTTTTAAAAGAAAGCAAAGAATTGGTGGCCACATTACTTAGGAGAAAATCCATGAATAAAAGTTTCCACTTCAATTATTCTCTCATAAAGTCTGTAGCTTTTTTTTTTTTTTTTTAAACGACATTCATTAAAAGAAGTTTCATGCATTAAATACTGAATCCACCACTGTAACTCACTTCCCAATCTAACTCACTGCCAAATCTGTAGTACTTTCAGGGGCCAAAAACAATTCACTATATTTGAGTAACTGAATATAACTAGAGGTGGGGTTTGGGAATAAGGTGAGTGGGAGAACAAGAATGTAGGATGTTGCAATAATTTGAGCAAGAGTTGTAGATAACTTTAACGGAGAAGAATTGGAAATAAGAAGAAAATGCAAGAGCTACTCAAGGGATAAAATCCACAGAATTTAGTAAGTGAATTTGGCAAAGAGGAAGAGAACAAGCTTTAGAATGATTATCAAGTATCCAACTCGGGCAACGAGGTAGCACAACTTTTCTGACACAAATAACAGATTTAATTGGAAAAAACGTTGCACTTAGCTTCAGACATTTAAATTCATGGCATATCTAAGATATCCAAGTGGATTTGTTTAATGAATGTTATGATACATATTGATTTATGGAAAAATCTGTGCTGTATATAATAGATCTGGAAGGTATGAGAAAGCAGACTTATAATTTTATCAAGTACTGTCTGATGAGAACAAATCTAGCAAGTGTAGATGCAGCACTACAGAGTAAAACCTTCCTCATATAACTGGCTCCTCTAAAGCAAACCTAGTAGTCAACAAGCTGCCAGGTACTAAATAATAAGCAGATTCCTATTCCTACAGTCTCCCTCTATGGAATGGAGATAGGGTCCTTGTTAGCCACCTCAGCATTCCGCAACCCAGCATCACCACACTAACTGTCCTTAAACAACCACAACTCATCAATCTTACTGGGCCTTTTCATCCTTCTGTACCACAGTCCCAGACACCTCAGTCACCCCTCATTTCCCATACTCTGATTTTCATATGGTTCCACATACATCCTATTCTGTCCTCATCTAACATTTCCTCTCAGATCCTGTAACCCTTTCACTGTACTCTGTAGAACCCAATAACAAAACCTCAACCATTTTCCTGAACATTCCTTTCAACTTCTAAATCCCCTAATTACATTGCTCCCTATAGCTAGTGAAAATATTGACTGATTTTTTTTTTTTCCATTTTCTTCCTATCATTAGACCAGAAGCAAGACAGATATATTCTTTGCTCTTCGTTGCTAATGCCAGACCATTCTCCCTGCATTCTCCTTCAATACAGACTAAATCGAAAGCCATCAGACTCTACCACTTAACACTCTTTTTGGTATAGTTATCTGTTAATCGTTATACTGCTTGCTCTCATTTCTCAAGGATTTGAGAAATTTCTCCTGGATCACTGTTAGTCTTTCCAACAATATTAATATTTAGCAATTTCTATGTCCATACACCCTAACTCCTCCATTCTTTAAGTTCTATTCCCCCAGGATCTTTTTTTCCTTCCTATCTCTAGTATTATTTCCCTTTATCACCAATAACTACAACTTCTCTAAGATCTTAATTCCAAACATCCTAGTCACTGACTACCACTTCTCTCTAGCTCATTACCTCTATTCCTAGGCACCAAAAATCTTTCAATCCAACACCAGAAAATCCATTCATCCTATCACTCTTTCACTACCTCTCATAGTCTTCATCTACTCATTTCCATCCTATTTCCAAACCATTCATCAAAATTATTCCCATGCATACATTCTCAATTCCCTTGGTACCTATTTAACTTCACTATAATGACTAGGCTAAATCATAATTTAGTTTATGAAAAATGCTTTGCCTGCTCTATGCATCATCAACAGTAACTGTCAATAATGCCCAGCACCCATACAACATTGTTCTAATACATTCCCTCTTCTACTTTCCTAGGACTATTTTAAATCTTCTCCTCTCTTCAAACATCTAATAGCTCTTCCCTCATAGCTACGGCCCATGCTTCTGCTTTTTTAGAAGAAAATTTCCAGAAGCTCCCACTTACCAACATCTTTCCTGTTACCACAGATGAACTGCCTATGTTACTAACAACATCAACACCTAGAATGTCCCATTAGATGTTCCAGGCTTCCAAAACTGTACCCATAAGAGTAAGTACTAGATAATGAAAGAACAAACAAATGTATTCTTCCACTATCTGTTATATTTTCTCTCTTTCTACTCTTAAAGGGCACCTCCAGCCAATTATTGTTTCCTTGCAGCTCAACAAAAATCTCCCTTTGTATATTATCATTTCCAGAGCTTACAATTATACTGTTTCACATCTTACATCTTTTATTTTCCCTAATTCCTTCCTCTTCCTCAATTCCCCTCTCCAATCACTGCTCCATTTCTTTGAGTCTTTCTGCAGCAAATCTCAAAAGAACTATCTATATCTACTGCCTCCAATTCCTTCTCCCTTTCTTTCACTTCCACTTAAAGCACATCTTTAACATCACCACTAAACAGAAATTGTTTCCAGAGTTAACTAATAACCTCCACATTCTATAAAACTCACCACTGCAAAACACATAGCCAACAACTCCCTTTTCTTAAAACACTCCCCCTTGCCTTCTAGAATATCACACTCATCTAATTTTCCTGCCTCTCTAGCAGTTCCTTTGAGTCCCCTCTGCTGGTTACTCCTTATCTTCCTAATATTTTATCATTAAAGGACTCCAGAATTCAGTACTCCAGTTTCTTCCCTTCTCAATCTAAACTTCCTAGATAATCGTATCCAATTTATGGCTTTAAATAGTACCTATACCTCAAATTCTTTATCTCTAGTGTAGACTACTATCCTGCTTATTTATCTAGCTGCCCACTCAATATTGCTACTTAAATGTCTAATGGACATCAAAGTATCAGTTACAGATGAGCTCCTATCTCCCCCACTCTGACCTATTCCCCTTAAAGCCTTTCTTACCTCACTAATGGCAACTCCCTCCTGCAGGCTGCTCAAATTGAAAACAGTGGAAGTTATCTTTAACTCTTCTACCTCTTACACACCCATCCAGCTACATCAGTAGATGCACTGCCCAGCTTCAAATCAGACCCAGAATCTGTCCACTTCCCACCATCTCCATTTCTGATCCCAAACCATCATTTCTCAGTATTATTACAATCACTTCCTAAGGCCAATGCTTCTACCTTTACTGCACAGCCCACTTTTATTCTAAACCAACAGCTAGAGAACTAACAAACTGAACCATATCACTATTCTACCCTTTACATCTATTACATTTGATGTAAAAACCAATCCTCACAAAGGCCTATAAGGCCAGATATACTCTGCCATTCCCTAATTTATTTGACTTCATCTCAACTACTTTTCCTCTCACCACTCCACTCTAACCACACAGATGTGATCTCACCTCTGGTCTCTATATTTCTTGTTTTGTTTTATCCATAATGCCTTTCCATCAGATTTCTACACAGCTCCCTCTCTTACCATCTTTAATGTTTATTCAAAGGTCACCTTCTCAGTGAGGTCTCCCCAGACTCCCTATTTTAAATTGCAACTCTTCCATTAATAATTATTTCCTTCCTAGTTTTTTTTTTTTTTGCACAAAATTCATACTTTTTAATATGCTATATAACATACTTATTTTAATCATTGCTTATTCTACATACCACTCCCTCCCCTAAACTAAAACAGAAGCTAAAACAGGGATTCTCTCTCTTAATCACTACCATGTCCCCAATACCAAAAGCAGTTTGGTACATACCTGTTACTTATTAAATATCCACTGAAGGAATTAACAAATTATTAAGACTCATGAGACACTTGGCAAAAGATGAAGTATAAAACTGAAAAACTAAGAAACACAAAAAATAGAAAAATCAGGGAACAGATGTTAAGTTTTAAAAATATCATACCACAGGGCTGAGGTTGTAGCTCAGTGGTAAAGTGCTTGCCTCATATGTGTGAGGCCCTGGGTTCGATCCTCAGAACCACATAAAAATAAATAAATAAACATAAAGATATTGGGTCCATCTAAAAATATCCTACCACAGGTTGAGCATTCCACAGTTTGAAAATTTAAAATCCAAAGTGCTTCAAAATCCAAAACATTCATAGCACTGGCATTATGCCACAAATGGAAAATTCCACACCATAAAACACAAGATTACTTAAAATATTATATCAAATTATCTCCAGGCTATGTGTACAAGGTGTATATGAAACATAAATGAATTTTGTGTTTAAACTTAGGTCTCTTTCCTAAGATAACACAGTAAACTCATGCAAATATTAAAAAAATCTTAAACTCAGAAATCTGAAACAATTCTTGTTCCAAGCATTTCAGATATGGAATACTCAACCTGTTCAAACTCCCTAGAAAAAATTCAAAGACAAAATGCATCAAGAACATGAAAGATTCCAGAACTTAAAAATAATACTGCTGGGAGAAATAACAGAAAGAAATAATGGAAGATAAAGTAAAGGAAACTGTCAAGAACATAGGGGGAAAAGTAAATATGAAGGAAAAAACAAAGTTTTAAGCCAAGAAGGCCAACATTTGACAACAAAAATTACAGGGTGGCGAGGAAATAAAGGGATGAATTTCAAAGAACTAGCACATGAAATTATATCAGAGCTTAAAGGAATCAGAAAAGCCTTCAAACCGAAAGATTTCATTTCAATTAAAAACATACATGGTAGAAGTGAGTCTAAAATTTTAACAAAGAAAATTGAAAGTGTATGTCAAGAAATAGTTAGGACTCTAGAAACAAATTGTATTTTTTTGGAGACATTTATGCATTGACTTGAAAATAGGCAATTTTCTTTCCAGACCAACAAATGAAATAAAGAGTAACCAAATAGCACAGTCCTAATACTGCAATCTACTTAATTATGGATGTATAGTGACAGTTTTATAAAGATTTTCAGAAAAATTAATATTACACAGAAGAGATTCTAAATAAATAATAATTGATTCTTTCAAAACAAAAAGATAATTTCATTTTCCATTTAAAAAAAGTGTGTGTGTGTGTTTGTGTGAGTATATAAGAATAAAAAACTTTTAAATGAGAGCATTTATAGTGGGGTAATACTGGTAACAATAGAGGCATTTAGCAGTTACTTTTGAAAAACCCACTGTACCTGGATTTTCTGAGTTCTAATCAAGTGGTATCTATAAATACTGATTTTAGTTGGTTGACCTACCTTACTCAAAGGAGTTTTGATTTTTTTCAAACACAAAGCAAGAAGTTCCCTGGATTCTAAAGCACACTGTACCCAAGTTCCCGGTGGCTGAAAATATCTAAGAAGATAAAACACTGAAATTCAATATCTCAAGGAAAAATGAAAATTTTCATCTGAGTATTCAGATGTAATGATAATTATTAACCAGGATTAATAACACCCAAGGTTTCTCTGAAGCATTAACCCAAACATCTCTAGTATTAAAAAAGCAAAATTCTGACTGAGAAAGCCAATCTGAAATAGCCTATTAATACGGTCTTATTACTTCAAGAGTTGAAAATTTAGATTTTCACTTTCCAAGGTTCTATTAAAAACATTATAGATTCCCCTTTGCTTATAAGCACACGTTTGGAGATAAAAAGGGTTTCCCAAATCACCTAATAAAATTCCTTCATTCTGGTGAGAAAACAGAGATGATGAGTTACCAAGAATTTCAAGAAACTATTTGTAAGAAATCCAAGACAAATTAGGCCTCCTTATACCTTTGTCTACTACTTTTAAAACTCCACCATGCTTTTAAGAATAGCAAATATTTGTAATAAATTATCACACTTGCCAGGTTTGCACACTGTTAAATCCCTAAAATAGCACACACAATTTCATGTGTCTATAAAGCTATGTATACAGAACTACTTTTCTGAGAAGAATTTTTGAATTTTCTCAGAAGTCCTTGAACCTCCTCTTCATACACACAAAAGAAGTAGAGTACTAGACTCTTTCCCAATCCCTTTGAGAAATCACTGGCCAGTTTTGTGTTTCTCAATGGCCTACTGCATATAAGCCATTTAAGCCAATAAAGGAAATAAAGAGGGAATGAAACATAAACTTTCAGAAGCCTTCTGCCTTCAAATTCAGTTTTTATTTTAGACCATTTCAGATGATTTACTTATCTTTTCCAACAACTATAGTCATTTTAATTAAAACACATTGCTACATTAGTTAAAAACATGAAGTGCTTTTTTTTAATCATACATAGCTCCTAAAGAAACAACCTCAAGGACATAAAGGTAACATATCTTAATCTGTTCTCACCCTTATAGACACCAACTCTTATCTATCAACTACATGCATCAAATCTATTAAATTCTTGAACAGAAAAAGAACAGATTCAAATACCTTTACATCTTACCAGATTAGTAGAGCAAACTAAAAATTACACCATAAAACACAAATTCTAAAGTAAAAATTAAATTGTGTATGCTTTATTCTGTGTATTTTGATATAATCTCAGCATATCTCAATGGGTCTCTATATAAATTCCAACTTTTAAGTAAGGCAAAATAGTAATGCACTGTACCTTTGACATTGTTTGCAGAAAGAAATTGAGACCTGTTTCGGAATACCTTGACTGATGTCTACTTTACTTCGCAAACAGGCCACACAAATATTGGCAGGATTTGGACTAATCGGGACACCACACTCACAGCACAAGCTTAAAAAAATAAATGATAAATTTTTCAAATTTATTTTTAAACATACTAATTATAAAAAAGCTACCAAACAAAAGATTTGAAATCAGGCCATATTAATGCCCTTTTATGAAAACATTACATAGAAACAGCAATCTTCAAAGATATGGTAGATAGTACAACCATAGAAATGTAAAGTTATGCTGCAATTGTATACTATGAATCAAAATGCATCCTGCTATACATAATTAAAATAAATAAATAAAAAAGAAAAGATACATTAGATAAATGGCCTACTGCCATTGAACCAAAGGGGTAAAAAAAAAATCAAGGATGGCTATAATTCTTAAAATACAGCAGATGTCCTAAGGGTCTAGAGAGTGAACACTGTCCAACAAAACTTCATATAAAGATAGAAATATTCTATTTCTGTTCAGTTCAATAAGATAGCCATAAGCCACACATGGCAAGTGAGTCACCTGCAGTGACTAGTGCAGTCACCAGGAACTAAATTCTTTTGATTTAAATTCACATTTAAATAGCCAGGAAAGATATGAATAAACTTTTTCTACTAAAAATAAATGTTACTATGCCTCATTAAAGTGAATAGAGACACATTGATAGAAAATACAAATTTGCACTAATCTCAATATCAAATAAATATTAAAAATGCAAAAAAAAGTTAAAGTTCTCTTTACCATACCCAACCAAGACCACCCATAATTTACCATTTATATATATCCTTCCAAACATTTTCTATACAGACACAAACATGCATATTAATTTTTACCAATAAAAACACAATAAATTGCACAATTGCAAATGTAATAGTAGGACCTACAAAGGACCTCATAGCTTTTTGGGAGGTATCACACACACACACACACGCAAAAAAAAAAAAAAAAGAAAGAAAGAATGTGTATCTTAAAGTTTTGAGGGACAATGGATATGCCAATAGGTAGTGCCATTAGAGAGCAATATACTCCAAAAGCAATTCACAAAACACACACACACACACACACACCTACCCAGAGGAAAACTTGTTTTTAAAATAGGATACGAAGTTTATCAATGTAGTAATCCATTATACGTGATGGGATTATCATAATTCTAAGTATATTGGGAGCAGAAAGTTTCAGAATCATTGATACAGATCAATATTCTCCAAAAGAAAATTTGATACTCTTCCAATGCTGGCTACTGACCATCTGAAATGTAGCTAGTATGATAGAGCAACCGAGTATTCAACTTTATTCAAATTAAATTTAAATAGACACACATGGTCAGTGGCTACATATTGGACAGTGTCATCTACAAGATGCATAGGGAATATTTTAACCTTTTTTTTTTAATTTTGTGTGGTGCGGAGGATTGAATCCAAGGTTTTGTACATGTGAGGCATGCACTCTTCCAACTGAGCTATATCCCCAACCCTTATTTTAACCTTAAGCATGTATTTACTGGAACAAATATTAGAACTAAACATGAATTCGATTTTCTGCAGAAATAAGACTTTCATTTTTCCCATTTATGATTTTAAAAAACTCTCTCACCACTACCACCAAAAGTTTTCCCCTGTTATGACAGTACGTTTCATGAACTCCCTGTAAGATCTTAAAATTGAAAAGGGATAAAGTGTCACAACTCACATGTGTCCAGGGCTGCGGTCGGTGGATTCTGTCATATACTCCATGGTTCTGTACACCTTAATTTAAAAAATAAATGGAGGCTGTAAATCATTCGCCTAACCCCCTCTTTACTTTTCCTTCTGCCTCTCTGAATAGGCAACGGAGCTTCCTACAAAGCAGGACAGAAAGAAAACCAACTCTTCTTAGCAACTTCAGAAGCAACTTTCTAGACTTAAGACCTACGCATCTCTGGAGTCTCCCACCTGCAGGACATGCTCCGCAACCGAGCTGCCGCGGACCTCAGGCCTAGCCTGGGAGGCGCCAATCAGGGCGGACCCACGCCGAGGTCTGCACGGTCAGCGGACACCAGGGCTCTGCCCAACTCCACAGGGCCGCAGCACTCACAGAGCGCCCCCACCTCCGACCCGCGCTACCAAAGTCCCCAGGAGGCATCACGGCGCCTGTGATCACCCACCTGGACCCCAACTCCAAGCCCGGACTGGAACCCCGCCGGCGGCGAACACGCTGCACGCACGCGGCCTGAGCCGGCCGGACCCCAGCGCCTGGCCCCGCTCCCTCCTCAGGCACCCTGCTGGCGCCTGCACCCCGCGTCTCAGCCCCTGGGACCAAGTTAAGGCCTCCCGGACCAGCCTAAATTTATGGAAAAATCAGCAACAAAACCAACGCTTACTGCACTGTCAGTTGCCAACACAGTCGGACCGGCAAGGGCGAAAATCTCGCGAGAAAGGCTCGAAATCCCGCGAGCTGAGGGACACGTGCTAAAGGAGCAATGGGGAGGAGAAAGGGCACAAGTGGGCGGGGGGAGAGGCGGGGTTGCTTGGAAAGGTCTCTCTTTCTTTTCCTTAGTCTATAGTTCTTGCTTTTGAGTTATCTTTCTTCCTGAATTTCCATGGTCAGAGTTCATTCCAAGTCAGCTTCGCCCGTGTATTAATCTCTTTTCCAGTGTCTCTACTGGGAGTTTGCTTCTTGATTTATATGAATGTTATTTGTAAGCAGTGCAACATTACACAAGGATGTTAAAACACCATTAGGGCAGTGCCTTTGTTTTATTCACTATCACATGCCTAATACCTGCCACATCCTAACTGTTCAAATGATTATTTGTTGAATGGTTGAAAGAACGGAATGTAAGGCATAATTATCTGTGAACTCTATTTTTAGACTAATCATTAGAATGTGCTTCCTAATAGTGTATAAATATTTCCTTATGACTTTATCCCTTGATCTTAAATCAACATAGGCCATGTCTGGTTGCTCTTTCTCATGACAGTACTTCAAACATTTAAAGAGCACAACCATTTTTTTTCCTAAGTTTTCTCACCCCAGATTTCAAGAAATAAGCAAGGTCCCTTTATAGACAGTGAGCAATGAGAGCTACATACCATTTCTTGTCTAGGGTATTTAAGTCTATTTTCCACCTGCTATCCCTACTTGAAGACTCTGACCCACCCTTCTAAAAGGCAATTCTAATTTTGCCACACTCCCCTGCTTTTTTAACCCTTCAGAGGTCTCTGATCACCTTCAGGATTACTTCCAGTTTCTTTGCACAGAAGAAGACCTTTCAGGATCTGATCTCTAAATATCATGCCACATACCCAAGTACACAGCCACCTGGCAGGTCCTTGTGGGAAATAGTCTACCTTTGCTTATGCATGGAACACACTGCCTTAAACATTAAAACAGTACTAGTTTCTGTGACTGTTTCAAGAGATTATCACAAATTTAGCTGGCTTAAGAAACACATATTTAATATCTCACGGTGCTGTTTGTCACAAGTCTGAAATGGATTGACAAAGCTGCATTCCTTCCAGAGGACCTAGGAAAGAACCCATTCCCTTGCCTTTTCTGGCTTCTAGAAGCTTCCCACATGCCCCAGCTTTGTTATTTTGCTCTTCCAACTCTTTCTCTGACCCCCATGTCTCCTAACCAGATAATCCAGAATAATCATCCCATATTAAGATCTGTAATTTAATCATATCTGCAAAGATCTTTTTGCCATGTGAAGTAATACAACCACAAATTTCCAAAATTAGGGCATGACATCTTTGGTGAACCATTATTCTGTTTGCCACACATCCCCTGTTCTTGATTCCCTCTTTCCCTAAGAACCAGAGGAGTTATGTGCTCCTTTACATATGGTTCTGTTGTAACACATTTTATGGAAGGTGTATGCCTACATGCTAGTGCTTTGAATTGTACAATAAATTTTCTGCTCTGCATGTTCTGCGATTTCAAGTTTCTAGATGTTGTTCAAAATTCTTTGGTACATGGGCTTCTCAGGATAGACAGTTTTCAACATGGTAGCTTGCTTCTTCAAAGCCATTAGAAAGAGAGAGAAAAACTCCAGAAAAAGCAGGTACTACAACCTTAGGTTCATAATCATGGACACATAATCAGATACATCCTGTGATTTTTGCAATATTCTATTAATCAGAAGGAAGTCAAAGGTCACTCCAGGGAAGTGCATGACCTATGGGAATGAACATCAAGAGGCAAGGACCATTTGGGGCACACCTTACAGTCTGTCCACTGCAGTTGAGGAGCGTATAAAGGAAATACAGCATAGCCGCCAGGGGCTGGTGACTTTCATTTAATATAGTTATCAAATTTCCCACTGTTCCTCACAATTCTGCCATTAGGAACATTTCACTGTCCACTTCTTTCTCCGTGGCTCTTCACTCATGCCATTTTAGCTAGATTTTGTGCAGTCAACTCTATGGGCCTTCTATCCTCCTCCTGGACTGCAGAACAGGTTGTTTTAAAATGGTGCCACCCCCTATGTTTTGTCTCTTTTGCAGGTATCCGCTTGCATTTCTGCTTTTACACCATGTTATGACACAGCATGAAACTCTTATCACATCTAACCACTCTTCCAGCCTCTAGAACCATGACTCACAATAAACCATTATTTTAAATAAATTATTTGATCTCAGGAATTATATTGTAGCAACAGAAAACAGATTAATCCGGGCCATATGAACAAGCCCGTTTTAGAATATGGGCTTCGGTTGAGTGATTTGGGGAAGGTCTAAGGAAGCAGAGGTTTGCTCTAGATTAGATGCTGTCAGGAAATAGAGACAATTTTCTGATCATGTATCTCAATAAATCTTATTTATTGGAAGTGAGGCAGAAAGATAAAATTGTAATTAGCAAAGAAGAAGCAGTCACTCATTTTAACAAAGAAAGCAAATGTTTGGTATTTTGTGAGTAGCATAGCAGACTTGTTTATAATCTATGCTTAAATGAGATTATGAAATGGTTTTGCTTTGTCTCAACATGGTTTCAGAATAATCTTGTGTAAAATTGTTTATATCTAATAGAAAAATGTGGCCTAGCTATGATCGCCAGGCCAGCTTCTAAATGTCAAGGGCTGCTCTTCTGTTCCTAACACATTCCTTCAATGTTTATTTGATTTGGCTCTTGGTACCACATTGCCAGGCTTGTTAAGCTGTGGGCATACAACAGTAAACAACACAAATTTGATGTCTTCCTTATTGTGCTCATGTTTTAAGATGAGGCTAATATTCCAGAGGAGTGGATAATTTGCTCAAAGATCTATAGCAAACAAATGAGAGAACTGGCACCTGAACTGCAGTTCTCCATACCCATACCCTCCCCCTCCAGGCTGTCTATTAAGGCTCAGGCCATCTATTCCTATACATGGAATTTTGGTAAATGAAATATTTATGCAGTTCCACAAATGTGTACAAATATTATGTGTAAATTAAATATTGTAAAATATATATTTTAAAATGCCATGCAACAGAAAACATGTATATTTTTTTCTCCGTCTCCCAATCCCTACTACTAAGATCTCCAGATGTCAGAATTAAGTGCTGGATTTTAATTATCTCTGCCACAGGCATAGGATGAACTTGCTATGATTGGTCTCAGAATGGGGATAATGTTAGCAAATTATCTCCCTTTAAAACCTCACTTTGCATTTTTTGTTTAATTTTCAAATCTCACCTGAAAAAAAAAATGTGTTGCCTGTCCCATAGCCTTTGCACTCAGGATATCTGACCTTATTCAGATCTATGCTTTAATGTATTTTTACAAACTTAGATTCTGTGTTCTTGACCTTAGTGTAAAAATAGAATTCCCCAAAGGACTAGATAATATGTCCTCCTTGCAAGTTTTACGTTCATTTTCCATATTCATTATCCATTAATTCATCGAAGATATTTTAGAAAGGATCCATATGATCTCTTTCTCAACTAATTAAGGTCAATATAAACCTGTATTTTTATATCTTTTGTTTTATATTATATCATAACTTCCTTAGACATACATTTTGAATGACCTTTTCTAAAAGCAGAGTTCTATTAATTTTAAGTATCCTTAACACCTACCAAGTAGTATATATGTGATTAATATCAGTTAACCAAGTGAGATTGTATGCAGAACTTTTAAATGCATAGTGTGATTTTTTTTTTCACACCATCAAATATTATAGCACATTTGAGGATATCATTTTGACATGGGAGATTAGTGAAGGGAGGTCTATTGTGATATGCCCCAAGAATCAACATCTGTGGAGGGGAAGTAATAGAAGCACAATTGGACAGAGACAGGAGTTCTGCTGCCCTGAAGTCTGATGGAGGCCTCAGCCAACCCCATTGAGATCTCTCAAGCTGCTTGACCATTAAGAGTTTTCAGGAGAAGCCTGGCCTTTGTTCATGAATGAGTCATTAGATGTGACTGCCCCAGGAAAGGGACATGACCTTGGTGACATTTCTCTTTTCAGCCAAGGCAATATCAGCAATGGACATGGCTTTCAGCCAGCAGCACTCTCTGAAGTATAGAAATAAGCCCTTCGTTTCTGCAGGAAACCTGGACTGACTTTCCAAAATGACGGGGTGTGTAACTGATTTATTTTAGGATGCTTTTCAGTTGAACCAGTTAATCTCCCAACCAAATAAAGAGCATGCCACACCCATCATCATTGAATCCATTCAAGAACTGACAAGGTCACCTGCAATTATATAAAAGCAATACTGCCAACTATCTGAAGGCTGAGAATTTAAAACAATCTTTCAAAGTAGCATGAAATTTTATATTAATCTAGGCTAAGTTTTGAAAAATTGGGTAACTTTTGAGTGGCCTTAAGATGTTCAATATAATTATCAAAGATAGCTTAAGAGTATCAAATCACTATTTAGTAAACAATTATTATGCAAAAAAATCTAAAAGTTTCCTTTTGTTATAAATACTACACGTTTTTAATGTGAAAGGCAGAAAAAAATTATAAAAATATTAAATAATCCACGAAATATGTGGAATAGAAGTATATGAATTTATGACCAAAAAGATTCACCATATTATCAACAAATAGATGAAAATACCAGTGATTGCTATTGTGGAGATTTCAGAAACTGATGAAAGAAGGAAGAACCTAGAAGTTCTGAGGAAGTTACTGAAGAATAGAAGTCAAGGTAAAGGAAGACAGAAACAATTTCCAGGAAATAGGAGAGAAAATAAGCAAGATCCAAAGGTGACAGCTATATACTACACTTGGGGGACTCCAGTCCAGTTGGAACAATTAGATGGCCCTAAGAGAGACCTCACAAAGGAAATAAAAATTTATACCACCTGTAATGTTTCTGAAT